AGATTCTCAGGCTCCCCTCATGCTCAGTGGAGATGGTCATGCTCCCAAACACGGGGTTTGGAGTTTTTGGGAAACTTGTCTCTGATTGTAGACGAGCCAGCATAGCCAAACATAAGCCTTTACAATGCCACAAGAGAACATTTTCTGCTTCTGAAAAAGAGATTGATGAGCTAATTATTCTGATTAGCACAAGACTAAAGCCCCCACTGGAAATTCACCAGTTTAGCAGCAGCTTATATTATATGCATTATTTAATTTAGATAGTCTCCAAAAGCACATACTCATAAATGTGCCCCAGCTAATCTACTTGTGCCATTGCAATTGCAGGCTGATTTTCCACTAGGTTCAAGGAAGACAAGCACAAAAAAAGCTGATTTCATATGGAAAAGATTTTTTTTTCTTAAATTAATCTTTGAAGTCCATAAGACTCTCATCAAAAAAGGAAAAAAAAAAAAAGGGAAAGATTATTTTTATGAATACTAATATATTTGGGGAAGACAAAATGTCTCCCTTAAGAAAAAATTTGTATTCCTCTAACACAATTAATATTCTAAGGAGCAAACCCACATATGTTGAGGAAGCCCTAAGTGCCTCCTTGTGTTTTTCCTCCGTGTTTCTTTTCTATTATTAAATAGCTAAATTTCAATCACTTTAAATAAATTATATTTAGCTGGTGATATGAACCATGAAAACTCTGGACTTCCACCACTGCTTTTGTGCCTTTGGGGAATTAAATAAGAGAAAGTATAAATCCAGTTTCCATAAGACAGAAGTAGGTACTGAAAGATGAGCAGGTGGTTGAGTGCTTTGGGGGACAATGAACGATTTGAACTGTAAATTATTTTTAAATGAACAATGAAATAGTAAGAATAAATTATTTGAAAGCTAACAAAGGCAAAAAGCACTTAGCAATTCCCCTGGCAAGTGAGATCATAACTATTTAAGCCGTTTAAATCCATAACATTTTTTTTCCAAAAAATCATCAGTATAACATTTATGAATGGAAATTCTGAGTTATATAATACTATCACAATTCGCATAAAATCAGGCCAAAGCTTTACAGCCTCTGACTCTTCCAAACTTCTGTAGTCTTTGCAGAACAATTTTCAAGTGAAATTACAGCCACCTTCACTCTTCAGGTTATTTCTCCACACTGATAAAACAGTTTCCAAGGCAAAGGTTGATTTTTCTGTTCCATCATTCAGGGAAGTCTGTATAAAATCTGTATAAAATCTCTGCTAGTTTTGGTTTTCTGTGCACCCTGCTATTCCTAGACTACCAGAAAAGACCTTTAGCCTTTCCCACTTCCCAGGCCCTTTCCTCCAGGCATGGCTGGACCCACTTTCCTCCAGGCCAAATTGAAGCTTGGTGCTTTCCCAGTTAGTCAGTCTTGGCTCTTGGGTGTCCTACACAATCTGTGTCTTGTAGGGAGTGGGTTTTGCGGCCATGGATGCAGAGCCAGGGAGTTTTTGTCAGGCAGTCAAAATAATAAAATAGAAGATATTGTAGCAGTCAAAATAATAATAAAAAAAAGAAGCAACACAGTGCTGAAATCCCATTTGTGCCAATAGGTCTGTGTTCAATGTGCTCTAAGCTGCCTAATGTTCTGGAATTGCATAGATGAGATTAGTTTCCAGTCATGGGATGTTTACATTAACATTTTTTATTATCCCTACAGAAAAATCAGGAATTGCAAGGAACAAGGAATCAGGAACAAGGATTCCCTTTATAGCCCAGTTGCATTAAGTAATTTTACCTATTAAACAGGAAGGTTGTTTGCTTTATGTGTTTAAAGTGGTTATAAAAACAGATATTAGTCATGCCTCACAAAAAAGGTCTATCAAAAAGCTGGGTTCTTACATCGAAGTAAAAATACCTGAAAGACAGAAATGCAGTCCTTAAGATGATTACACATATTTTAGTAATAGATATTATTATCTGTACTGTCATTAGATGACATTTGTTTTTTATTATACCTAGCTTTTTTGCTTTTAATCTTAGATAGTTCATTTGAGGTTTTAAGTCTGTGTTTTCCAATAAAAAAGCACAGTAGTTTATTTTTTAGAAATAGTTTGGATAAATGCTGTGGATAATTAAGAAATTTCTGATGGGTAATATTGTGAGGTTCTTTGTGACATATATCAAAATAAACCAAAACACAAAGATCTTTTAATTGATCTGCATAACTTTTATCTCCATCTTTCCATAAGTAGGTGAGATGTTTTCCATCAAACTCTAGCTTTTGTAGAGAGCTGTTGACTATAATAGTCTCTGTGAGTGTAAAATACCAGGGAATCTGATGGGTAGCTGAGGCTGAAAGGAACCACCGAGGTCATAGAGTAAATCCCCTTTGTTCAAAACAGTAGCAGCTAAGGCAGGTTGCTCAGGGTTTTGTCCAGTTAGGTTTTGAATATCCCCAAGGATGCAGTAAATCATTTCACCCTTGGATTTTTCTTTTGAAGACAGCAGCCCTGCTTTTTGCAGGATACTCCACTCAGGATCCTCCATCTCCACCATCTCATGGTCATGGAAACCAAGGCTGCCCCTGACCTTCACATCCTTGACCAGTTCTTCCTTTCTTGTAAGTGCCAGGGACATCACTGTATAGCACTTCAGGGACACATCCACTCTTGATTTCCAAGAAGAGTGTAAGAGCTTCCACCATCATTTTGTCCTTTGGGTACCTCCTTATTCATGTACATACAGTTGAGGTAGATCTTCCTAAATCTTAAATCCTGTTTTGTTTTTTCCAAGGTCTTAAATAAAGATAGATATAGAAAACTCAACTCGTTCATCTCCTTGTCACAATAAAGTCCTGCTTTTTTTCACTATGGTTTAATGCCCCTAAAGTAGGTGATTCATGAAAAACATAATGAAACAAAGTCCACTATATGACTGTAGAAATAATTCAGATTAGGTTGGAAGATAAAACTGATATAATTCAGAGCCTAGTTAATGCTATCAAAGACAAATTCAAACACAATATCCTTTAAACACCTTCAAATCTCTGTCAGTGAAAAAAAAAAAAGCACTGTTTGAACTTTGAAGGGTTTATCAAAGATGTTGCAGTGAATTTTTAGCAAATATATATCATTGCTTGACTTATCTTCTGGCAAGGGCATATTATTTACTCCAGCCTGTGTCAGGGTTTGACTGATTCCCTACTAATAGGATTGTTGTCACTACCCTGTAATAAAGGTGATATTCTGCTGCCAGACAAAGAAATTGTGCTTAACTTAGTGAAAGACTGAGATTAAATTGTGTGATAAATATGACTCCAAAACTGAAGTTAGGAAGATTTTTCAGATTTCTGAAAGGCTTAAGGTGTTCATCATAAAGTCCTTGAACATGAAACCTCTTCCCTGCAGATCCTGGAGGGAAGCAGGTTGCAGGACTTACACATGTTAATGTTCCTGAGTGTGCATTTCTCTTCTGTGATTAAAAGATTAGTCAAGAAGCTATAAATAAGACAGAATAGAAGCTCACCCCAGGCCATTATCTTTTGTTGAGTAGCTGAATTCCAGAACAGCGGTTTTAGATGTAAAGCCAGCTGGTAGCTGTAGTTAGAGGGAGGTTTCCATGCCAGCTGTGTCCTGGGTGTCTATAGGCGGCCATTGAATCTTGTATGTGTTGTATAGGTGGCCTTTGAGCCATAGTAAAATATTATGTATTGTATAAATGGCCTATGAGTCTCGGTAAAATCTATGTATTGTATAAGTGGCCTTGCCCCAATCCTAGTTGTTCTAGATGGGCTGCAACTGTGATGTCCTTAATTGGGTGGCAGCTGTGGCTAGTGAAGATAACTGGGATAAAAGGGGTTGGGCTGGCTGGTCAGGGAGAGTCTTGATGAAGAAGCAGGAACAACACTGCTGTGAAGAGCTGTGAGTGAGAAAACCACCCAGAAGGTATGGGACTCTAGAAGTATGATAACAACAAGTGGTGACCCTGATGTGATAGAAATATGCAGCCTGAGATCTGTGGAGGAATATGCAGCCTGAAGAGCTGTAGAAGATAGACAGCCGAGATCTGTGGCAGTCTGAGGGCTGTAGAGGTTAAGACAGCCAAGAGCTGTGAAGGAACATGGCCTTTGAATCATGGTGGGTTATATGTATTGTAACTGTATAATTGTTAAAAGGGGGAAATATAGGTGGCCATTGAATCTTAGTATGTATTGTATAAGTGGCCTATGGGTCTCGGTAAAGTCTATGTATTGTATAAGTGGCCTTGCCCCGATCCTAGTTGTTCTAGATGGGCTGCAGCTGTGATGTCCTTAATTGGGTGGCAGCTGTGGCTAGTGAAGATAACTGGGATAAAAGGGGGTGGGATGGCTGGTCAGGGAGAGGAGCTCTGATAAAGAAGCAGGAACAACACTGCTGTGAAGAGCTGTGAGTGAGAAAACCACACAGAAGGTATGGGACTCTAGAAATATAATAACAGATGTCAGCAAGGATAGGGCTGCAGCATCCTCACCCTGATGCTGACACCAAACACTGCCCTGCCCAGGGGGGCTGGTCCTGAGCATGTAAGCTGTGGAAGGAGCAATGCTCTACGAGGAAAATGTTGGGAGGAATTTCAGAGGGTTTTGTTTGTTTTGGGGGACATTGAAGTTTTTGGTTTCTTTTGTTCTGGGATTATTGTAAAGCTGATTCTCCTTCAAATGCTTCTGCTGTTGTGTAAGTACTGAAAGAAATGTTGCTGATGAAAAATGTGCAATTATTTGTCAAATACAGAGTAGTTGAAGGAAATGGAAGGCCAGCTGGTACTTAACATAAATTGTTTTCATCAGCCAGCAATTCCCTAGGATTTGCAAAGCTAGCAAGAGATTCATCTTCAGTTTCCACCATTTTCTTGCATAAATCATGAGGAATTTCAGTTGCCTTTGTTTAGTGATTCCCATGTAGATTCATTTTCATCTGCTTGTTCAGGCCCTGAAAACAATCTTCTGTTCTTGCAGTTTTCTGAGAGTTTCAGTTCAATTGCATCTCAATGTGTTCTTTCAGGTGATGTACACTACAGCCAAGAATGACAGAGGAATTGTTCATTACAAGGGTAAGTGGCAGCATTTGGATTCTTGGAATCAGCAAGAATTTTGGAAATACAAAGTACAATTAATAACAGACTTGCAACTGAGGCATTCAGGTTTCCTCTAAAAAATACTTTTAATTTTCTTTTAACAGATACTTAAAACTAGCTTTTAAAAATCCATAACATGAATACACAGTGCATTCTATGTATGACATTAATATACCTTGGTTTTGCTATTAAAAAACATTTAACAGGTATGCAATTAAATTTGAATTCATGGAGGGACTGTCCCCAGCAAGGATTGTGAAGTTCTTTTGGACTTTCATTGCTTTTGTAGAGAAATTAGATGCCTCTCTAAATAAATACCAACAGCATAGAAAACAGAGACCACTTAATAGAAAAAGGGTGTGTAGTTCATGGTAGATGAAAATGCTAGAAATCTCTCTGAAAGGCTGTTCAGACTTTTGTTATTTTAATATATTTGCATAAGGGAGTGTATTTGTACTCCAGACACAGGTGAAGACAGGAAGAAGGCTCAGATTGAATGTGGGAGATCAAGCTTGTAGTAGAAGCACTCAGACATCTTTATTTCTGTTCTCAACTTTGTTTCTTTCCTTTTTTTCTTTGGAAGGAAGCTTAAGTGTCATAATGAGATGGACCAGTCTCAAAACTAAAATAATATTTTGAAGCACAATAATATTTATAAGGAAAGAAAAAGCAAAATAAAAAAAACTAACGACATTATTATGCAAAATAATACAAGCATATGATTAGGAAGAGGCTATTACAATGTTGTAAACAACATTCAGATAGGGAAACATATAAACAAGACAAGAAGAAGGGAAGAATGTGACACAAAAGAGGTGAAAAGATTATTATGAAAAGGTAGATATTAAAATTCTGATTAAGTGGCAACATGATAGCTGTTGAACTGGTCTGACCAAAGAAAACCAAAATTGTTCTCTACAATTAAAATGCATTAAAACTTGGTTTTTTTGAACACCAAGCACAAGCAAACATATAAATATATTTACTAAAATATTAATATATAATATTATAATAGTCTAGAATAAAGATAAAAAATATCAATAAAACAGGGTTACTGGTAGCCCTTAGTATTTCATTAAAATGACTGTTTATCCAAACAAATACACTTTTAAGAAACATTGGAAAGTTCCTATTTTTCATCACTACAGGGTTACCTGGGAGACTTCATAAGGCAATCCCAGCTTGTACAATACTAAAGCATACATTTTTAAAAGCATTTTTTCTAGAAAAACAATGATTTTTCAGTCAGAACCTGTGAGATTGATTACAATGACACATACACAAAGCCATCCTGAATAGTAATCTGTGTTAAGAAAGGGCAAACTCAGCCTCTAATTTCTGAAATCCCTGGCAGAATTTTTGTGTTTTAAAAAATAAAATTACTCATTCTCTTTATCACTCTGACATAAAAAATAATCTGTGTGTAATAATGGCAAAACTGAAAGCTGTCATCTGCTGATAAACTGACACAGAGGGGCCAGTACATAAGCAGAAGTGGTCTGTGTTTTTTCTAGCATCCTCTCTGGACTAATTGGAAGTCACAATGATTTTAATAGAGTAATTTCTGTACTTATCTGGGGTAGGAATATAAGTTCTAATGACAAAAGATGACCAAGAGGGACACAGCCACACAATGAGTTGTTATGCTAGAATAGATCACAAAGCTGGTGACCTCTTCAGGTGGAAAAGTACAAAGGAGAGGCAATTATCTGAGCGTGGTGCCCACACAACTCCATGCTTTCTGCATAGTAGCCTTAATATTTATATACATATTTATGGCACAATAAACTCCAGTCGCAAGCTTTTAACATGGATGGGAACTTTTGTGTCTATTGCTCTCATAGGTCTTAAAAATAGAGTTCATGATGGACACCTCTAGAAACTTCACTGATGGTTTAAAATATTATTCTCCAGGCCAATGGTGACAATAAGATAATAAATAAGCATGATTTTGAAATAAATACATTTTATTTATTTTATGTACGATTCTTGTAGCTTTGTTAATAATTACTGCCGCATAATTCATTCCTTCTAGCCTCAGAAAGGCTTACAGCTTCTGTTCTTTTTCTTTCCCTGGACAGGCCATTTAGAGAAAGAAAGTGCTCAGATGCTTAGATGACTGAAATTTGTTCCAGTGTCAATTTTGATAGCATTTGGGAAATTATATTGCTTATGATTATGTTAGATGTTATGAAGTTATTTTCATAGCACTCACTCTGAGAATGGCTTTATCATTAGTGAGACCATCAGCAAGGATGCATCTCACTCTGATGTCTGTAAAACATCTCATAAAAGATACAGAGATTCAACTGTCCAGCCTCCAGATGTTTACCTCACATCCAAAAACTGCATGAAATACACTGGGACCACCCTGACAGTAGGGTGTGTGCAAGGTTTTTCTGCTGTGCATATTTATTTCCTTCCCTCCCTGATAATCAGGGCAATAATTTGCTCCCCGGTGGGGCAAGCTGCACTCAGATTTCAGCCTGAATTTGAATAAAACCTCTGAGTGTCTCTTCCACTCTGCTACACACAACTGGTAACTTAGACACATACACAAGTCCTAGGATTTGCAACAGGCTCTTAGGAGAGTAGAGAGACCAAGAATGAAACACCACCCCTCCCCACCAAAAAAAAAAAAAAAAAAACCAAACCAAAAAAACCCCCAAAAAACCGAAACTCTGAAGTGACCAACTGCAATTCAATAACCATAATCCAACCCTCTAATTAAAGAAGAAGAAAAATAAAATTTTCATGTCTTTTTGCCAGTGCCATTGAGGAGAAGGATCAATCCCATCATATTCAGCTCAGTGGACATAAACACCCCAACCTGTGCTCAGATTGGTGGTTAGATGCACAAATGGCAGGAGGTGGACAGGACTGCAGCTGGCCTGTCTCACCAGCTACATCTCCTACTGCTTGGCACAGGATGCCTCCTCTCAATGTGCTATCTGAGTTAACTCCACCTTAAGCTGCCATTCTCTGTCCTATGCCCATTAAGAGAAACCTGGATGAAGGCTATGAATTATCTCCCATAGCCAGATATTAATGTAAATGCATATATTTGCAAAATAAAGCCTTAGAGATCATTGTATTTTGGGATTTAAATGCCCAGGTGTCTTGGAGCATTCTCCTCAGGTGGGATGGCAGTAATTAGCTATTTTTGTGCCTGGGTGTCAGTAAGCCAACATCTATGATAGTTTCACTAAGGGAAGAGAGACAAGCAAAACTGATCTGGCTGAATACCAAAGCCTGCAGGGAGGGAAAATCTGGGAAAATGTTCCCAATAATTGCTTGCAGCCACTGTGAGAAAGCTGTAATCACCTGAAATGTTCAATAGCAATATATCACTTGCTTGAATATTAGCTGGGCACTGTTCTGGGAGATCCTGACAGATCTCCTCTTTACAAGATGAGGCTCCCTGTGTCTTTCATCTCATTATCTCAAAGCACTTTACAGATGCAAAATGATTTGTAAAGCAATTCTCATTATCTGCATTGCCCAGATGATTAAGGCAAAGCAGAGAGAGACCTCACAAGTACTCCTGGGTCACTTGGAAAGAGGCAAAAAATGTCCTGCACATTACCAGTAAACACACTTAAAAGCAGAAATCTCTTTGAAGCTTAAGGGTATGCCCTTCTCTGCATATCTTGTGAGCAGCATCTGTCTGTGCTGTCCCAAACATGCAGGCAAGAATTGCTTTTCTTTTGCCTGGTCATGCTGTACCAGCTGCTGGCCAGCTGCACCTGGGCCCCAGGACCTTCCCTGGGCACAGCAGGACTCACTTCTTCCCCTTCCCTCCTGGCCAGATTGCAGAGTTTGGTGCCTTCTGGTCACTCAGTGCTGCCTCTTGGGTGTCCTGCACAATACCTGTGTCATCAGGAGTGTTTTCTGTGGCCATGGACACACAGCCAGGCCTTTTGCTGGGCAGGAGCAATAGGCATAGAGGGCATCCTAGAAAATGGTTTGTGATTTCTGTCAAAATAATGCTAATAGCAGTAAGAAAGAAATCCTATGAATCTGTGTAGACCAGATCAGATAGTTTGGTACCAGGAGCTGCTGGTTGTTTCTTGATCCTAGAAAGAAAGGCAAAAGTGCTATCAGGAAAGTAAACCATGTTATTAACATCCCACAAAAGGGATAGCAATTCATCTTATGCTCCCTCTGATGCTGGGAGCCCCTAATGATACAATGTAAGGTAGACCCCTGCCATGCCATGGCACCCTACTCAGACTTCCATCTGAGTTCCACCAGCAGTCATCTTCACAATTTTTATAGGATTTTCTTAGAAGCAAAGCAACTCTATCTGTCATATTTACTATGGGGAAAAAAGAGAATGTTTTAGGAAAACATGCTGCTTCACTTCAAGATAAAGTCAGGCACATTCTTTCAGCATCATGGCTGGTGACAAAGAGGTGCTGCCTACAGACTCTTTGGTTTTAGACTTAGGTTGGCTGCATTTATTGTAAATGAGGCACAGCCCTAAAGCCAAGTCGTGTGTGGTACAGCAGGCTCAGCACAGGCCTGCCCCACTGAGCTGAGCTGGATTGTGCTCTCCTCCAAGTGCAACAGCCTGCCCTGTATGGCCCCCAGGGCTGCTGTTCAGGTGGTTGTTGTTGCCTGTGGTATAAAGGGGGTAGCAGGCTCTGTACATCTGATGAAGACACAATTTTGTCCATTTGCCTTTTCACTGCATGTTTTTTCAAGCCCTGCAGGTTGCCCAGCTCTCTTAGCATGCCAAAACTCAGCTCAAGGTACAAAGGACATCCAATTTCAACAGCACATCCTGCATCAGTCTCTGAAATCCTGCCTAGCCTTATCAGTGAAGTGAGCCAAGAATCTCCAGAAGCATCAGCAGCCATAATAAGGCCAAAATTCTGCTCATTTGGCTGCACACAAGTTAGTGCACTGAAGGGTGTTAAGGCAAACCTTTCACTTTGTTGGTGCTCACACCTGGCACAGTAAGTCTGCTTCAGTGGGGATTGTTTCCTGTTTCATGTGGGATATGCCAACGTGTGTTAGGTTGTGGACATTCTTTAAAAATGCATGTCTTTCCCATATGTATCTGTTGATCCATAAAATTTTAAAACAGTTTCCTTAGAACAGTGATACCTCGGGAGGATTATCGCTTAGATGGTTGTCTCTACATGTAGAAAATGCATTCCAACACAAGCTAGAAATCTTCAGGAAAAGGATCTTCTCAGTAAATGGCAACTGAGATGTGAGTCCTGCCTATTGTGGCTCACTTGAGTAGTTCCAGATTTTAAATTTTTTTTTGTACTGCAAAACTAAAAGTAAAATCCAATATACTGTTTGGTAGACAGATTTAAATATTTGAAATCACACAGATGGAATTTGTTGCTGTTCACAACCTGACTGCTGTAATTCATAGAGAAATTCAATCAGGTATTCTCCCCAAAGCTTATTAACTGCTCTGAGTTAATGAATGTGAGGCTTTTGAAGCTCAGATCCTGTGTTTTTCTAGGTTAAGGGTCTGAGTGCACTTAAAATAAATAGTCCATGATTTCTCCTAGCTGAAAGAGTACCTGAAGGGGTACCTGAAAGGGTCAAATAGTCATGTTTTCACCAAGGCAGTCTAACAGAGCAGGCTTATCTTGCCCTCAATGTGACCCCTTGAAAATTAATTTCTGTGAGATTATTAACATTTTTGAAAAATAATGAAGTTAAGGTTGTTTTATAAAGTTTATGCCAGGAAAAAAAAAAAAAAAAAAAAGCTGACTATTTTAGGGAAATAGTTTTTGAGATATTTTCAGATAGGTCTTTAAACCAAATGGTAGACTTACTCATTTTGAAATACTACAGAAGAAAAAGACTGTGCAAGGTTTAGATACCATCAGCCTAATTTTTTCCTCAAAATTTAAAGATAACATTATGCAGAAAGGTCAAACTCTGCAAGAATTTTTCAAAAGTAATTTCTTTCCTGAAAAAATTAAATGTAAGTTGTAAAACAGTTCACTGGGGCAAGCTATGAATCCAGATGGCAGAAACAACAGTTGGGAAAGGGCTGGTAATAATTCAAGTGTTTAATTTGTTAAAGGTTTTGCAAATCTACCTTGCAAATCTACTTGCAACTCTACTTGCAAATCTACTTTGCAAATCTACTTGCAAAAGTGTTTGGATGGAGGTGTTACACATACAGGGCTCACATACAAAATGAGCATTACACCATCTCAGATAATGCCTGCTTGAATGAAGAGATTCCATATTAAAAAGCATATTTAAATCCCATCCATGACTGGTCTTTATGCAGTTAAGCAAAGGTAACATTGGGTTCCTGAGGAGAGCAGATGGAGAGATGCTCTGGTAAAGCTGCTGAAGAAGAAAGAATGGCTCAGTCAGTGAGACCTGCAGAAGCCCCATCTCCTGAACCAAATTTCTTTTCATGGGGATTGCTTTAGTAGCAGTTCTGGCTCATACAGTTCTGTAAGAGCAATAAGTAGAATATAAATGTTCTGTAAATAGAATTGTCAGAGCAAACTCCTGGTAGTGGGAACAGCACTGTTAACATTTAGTCCTAGTGCTGCAATGGAAGATGAAAACCCCTGATACTTTGTGGAGTTTGTTACTGAGATATAATTTCCTTAATCCTGTTAAGATGAAGAAAAAAAAGACAAATGAGATAGGAATGACTTGACACATTATGTTCTTTAGGATTTGTGAACTTCTGAAAGATGTCATCAGAAACTGCTTTGGTATGAATATAGGCAAACATCAAAGTGACTGTATTATCATTTATTTCCAATTATTGTTAAAACCTTCACGCATCAGTGAAAGACTGTGAAGAAACTGATGATTTCTGCTTCTAAAGTACATGGTAGTTTTCTGGGGTAATAAAAGATCTCTGGTCCGTGAGGATCATGAAGAGCAAGCAGAACAGATAGGCTTGGATGCAGACAATTTATTTCAAGGGAAAAATAGATTTTATCAAGAGAGAACAGCTAGATGAATGGCCCATTAATAAAACCTGTAATATGATAATTTTGTTCTTTGGGGCTAATAATCACATTCTAGATAATTTTTAATTATACAAAGAATGCATTTATGAAAAGGTCACAAGAAAAACATAGCTACTTTATAAATATCATGGATTCTAGTTGTTTATGGGTTTAATAAGTTTTCCTCTCCCAAGGTTAAATAAATGGCATTAAAGAAACAAATATTATCCTGGGATGGTTTTGGGGGCAGTATTTGACATGGCTTATACTGACTTGATCAGTGACATTGGCACAGTCTGATGAAAGAAAAATTATGTGTTTTTCAGACTAATTTACTTTAGAGAGATATCATAATCTGGTCCTTAGACTGAATGAATGAGCATTATCAGTGATGCTGCATATTGTCTTCCAGCTTTGTTTCAGCTAAGAGAAAACCAGAGGATGTATTTCAAGAGCATTCCACATGATGAACCAAAGCACAGCCAGTCAGAGGAGGGGGAGAGGTTGCAAAGGGTTGCTTTCAATTTTAGTTGCTCTATATCTAAAGAAATATGCTGTTGCAGATATAACCTGTGAAAAGAAATGGGCATATTAGGGGTTTTTTTTGCCCTAAAAATGTTCAGCTGCATGTCTAATCTGAGCAATGATGTCTATCTGCTGGATATAAATTGCTGAAGCAGAGCAGTAATTAAGGTATTGTCTCCAGTGAAATTTTCTAAGCTTTATCTTATTCATTTTTTTCAAGGACATGGCATTTTATTTAGCTGAATTGGACATCAGTCACTAATAGGACTTGCTCCAAATGTTTAAGAAAGTGCAAAACTTTCTGGAACTGTAGTTACCAAGGGACTTCCACATCATATTACCTGCTTTGGTGGAAACAGAGTGAAAATATTCTCTGATAGTTGTTCTCCCCATGATTAGAAACACCTGAAATACTGGCATACATTCTGAGTCCTTGGGTTTGTCCAGATTGAAATCAGAAGTTTAAAAAGTCTGAGAGATAGACTTCATCAGATCACACCCATATTTAGCATAATAAACATAAAAAAATCAAATATTTAAATTTTGTTAAAGAGATAGAGAATGCAACTTTGTGTAGAAAGTTTTGTAACATAAATTTTAGCTCTTTCTATTACCAGATAGAACTGAGTAGTATTTCATACAATTTTGATATTTCTAATCTTTTTGTAGATCAGAGGAACCTGAGATGATTTAAAGGATCACTCTTTGGACGTGAATACTTGTAAGTATTTTCAAGGTACATAAATTTACTTTTCAGAGGGAGCTGCATAATGAGTGGGCATTTAAACTGCATTTAATGTTAGCACCAAATTCAGCAAAGAGACCCAAAATAATCTCTCCCCACTGTCAAATGCATCTCTGGCATCTCAGATTTTGAAGGAAAGACATCTTGTACAGGGATGCACATTTTGTGAGCTGACAGACCATCTCTGTGATGAACTCCTCTCCAAGGCCATCAGGGAGCAAGAATCTCTGCGGTGTCATGTTTTTGTCTCTTTGCTTCTATGCACTTGCTGCACTCTGACTGCATTTTAGAAAAGCACTGTGATGGGTGTGATGGTAGAATTTTCTTTTTTTTCCTCTGGCTACAGCGTCCTTCCCACCTGATAGTCACAGAGCTGTCTTAAGGAGGAAGAGTTGTTCTGTGCAAATCCCTCCTGGGGTTGATTTGTCACACTCGGTGACTCAAGCTCCACGTGGATGGCAAAGAGGGAGTTGTGCTGTTCTTTGTGGGATGGTACACTTTTATTTTTCCTAAAAGAAGAATGACAGTTGCCTAAAAGAAATCATTAACATACAAGAAGTTATTCAAATTTTCATGTAGAAGGGCAGACTTAACTCTTTGAGCAGTTGATTCTTTTCACCAAAAAGGTATTCTGGCTGACTCAAACTTGCTGCTTAACAGAGGCAGGAAAAGATGCAGTTCCCCTTATTTCAGTCCAGGCTCAGCACTTGAAGTCAGTAACAGAGCTGATGAGAGAGCTGAGTTGTGGGGACAGGAATGTAGTTCCCAGCTCATGGATATGACAACACTCAGCTCTCAGAAGAGAAGGGTACAGAATATTCTGAATTTTTCCTGAGCAGCTACTTCTCTCCTTTGTACTGAGTAATCTAATATGACATATTTACTAGATCGGTAACAGCAGTGGGAGTTGTTTACTTTCCCATTCTGTACAAACATTTTCAAGATGAAAAATTAAAATGTTTAATTTCAAAACTGCCACAACAAAATGTTTTCACTCATTCAAATTTTCATCTTCAGCATCTTCTAGCTTACTGAACAAGATTCATTAACCTGATGTGCAGTTGGAAATTCTGAATACTTAACCAGATACTCAGCTGCTACAGTAACCAGGCTCACTCCCATACATTTTCAGTTCAGAAAACATTAGGGAAGTCACACTAAAACAGAATCTCAAAGCAGTTCCACTGTATTTGCACTCAGAGGGAGGAGTCTTAGCACTTATCTGCTCTCCATGAGCACAGGACAGTATTTTCATACTATTAAAAATATTTTGTGTTCCTGATGTAATCAGACAGGTTTGAACATGAGCTGCAGTTGGATGAAAATGGGTTTAAGGATTGCCTTATGTGAGGGGCATGTTTATGGCAACAGGAGTGTCACAGCAGCAGGGCTTTAAGCAGAAAATAAAAAGGAATCTAGGAGATTTTTATCTTGAGCTGACTTCTGCATTTTTTTCTGGGTTTGAGGTAAGAATTGCAAATTCTGCTACAAAGTAATTAAATAATATTTCTGAGCTTGACTTCTCTTCCCTATTTTGACAAGTAGTCATCATTTGCATTGGGAAAATATATGCCAGGCTAAAGCAGGAAATTCCTTGTGTGACCCATACATCCACAATTTACAAGTGATCCTGGGTTTCATGGACATGAGCTATGAGATGGAACTAGAAATGATAGCCCAAACAGTGCAGACATTGCATGTCCTTAACTATGGCAGGTTTTAAATAAAGAAAAAAACTGACAGCAGATTTAAAATCCAGAAATTGTGGAGCTTAGTTCAATTAGAGGCAGATTTCAAACAGTGTTTAGAGCCTTAAATTTATCTGGGCTTATGGAAGCATTTGACAGATGCCAGTGCAATTCACTTTGGAACATCTTGAAGGTCTATTGCATGCCAGCAAAAATCATGAACCTCATCAAAGTTTTATGCCAAGGTTCTGCTTGAACAGTTAAAGTAAATGGGAACTTGCATAAATGAGCTAATGAAACTCTCCTGTCAACCATACACTCATGCAAAATCCCACTGTCAGACATTGACATTACTACAATAAAAAAAAAAAGATATTAAAATGATATGAACCAAGTATGGGAAGCCAGAAAAACTGTACCAGAATACTAAAAGGATACTGTCAGCTGTAGCCTTCCAAATCACTAAACAAAAGCTTTGAAGACTGTCCCTCCCTACAAAAAAAGGACAAAGAGACTGCCAATATAATATCCTCCAAAAATGGACCTGAGCAACTGCTCCCTCTGTACCACAGTAGGGGACAATGACATCCAGACAATGGCATCTCACTAACTCACAAGAGGATGCCAAGCAAGGAGGATGTCAGGGCAGGCACCTGAAGCAAAGTAAGTCATCAAGTACCAAAGCAGTACTTGACCTTCAGCATCTTAAACAAATTTTCATCACCAAAAGCCTAGACCATATGTGTCCCAGGAAGAGGTGTGCTTCATAATGTGTCATGCACTTTTCTCTTCCAGCTCTGGGAACCCGCTGGAGGGCACCAACCGTCCCTGCCTGCAGTTCCAGAGGTCCTCACAGTGGGAACCCAGTGGTGTGCAGGTGTAGTGTGCACCCAAATCTTTATTCCTCCTAATGCATTCAGGATATGGCCGTGGAATTGCCATGAAGAGAAAGCCATTCTGCAGACCAAAGTGTGGCTCTCAGAACATGCCTCCATGTCCTCTGTTCAAATGTAGATGTTGGGAACACACTGAAGACAGAAGCAAGTGTCTAAATGCCCTTAAAAGCAAATTCTTCAGTAAAGATCTAGGAATTGGACAGATTAGCTGTACAAAGAACACAAAGACTAAAAGAAAATGACAATAAGTGACTCAGAAAAAAAAATAAAGTGTACTGTAACTGTATCACAGATAAAGACACAGCAGCTGCTAGAAGAGGAATGGATGGGACAAATAGACACTGCATTGGCACACTGCATGCAATTCTTAATGCAAACAGCCAGCCAGAGATTAAAGCTTTGTAGATTACTCCAGATAACTAGAGAACCTGCATTTTTCTTGCTCTGGTTGCTCTGCAAGCTTTTGTTCATAAGAATGGACAAGTTATTCTTTTCTTGTCCACAACAAAGGTTGTCTCAGCCACAGTAAAAGTTTTTACTTTCTCAGTACAAGGAGAAAAGGAGTTCCTGGCCAAGGAGTTCTCTTGGCCAGGAACTGCAAAGGCTCTTGCTGACTCTTTTCCCATCCCACAATGTTGCCCTTGCTGCTTTTGTAGGCTTCTCCTAGAAGCTTTCTCACACCACCCAGCTCTCCCTCCCCACACAATCTCCCACTCACACATGCAGAGACACCTGCTCAGCAAAATTTCTATTTCCAAGTGCTTTGAAATGCCTGACTTGCCTTTGCCTTTCATGTAGAAATAGTGATGGGTGGTTAAAGAGTACTATTTGCCTTCTCACTTTCAGGGAAGAATTTAATGGCTTCTCATAATCACTTTATATAACCTTCAGAAAGTTGTAATGCTGACTGCAATAGCAGATAAAGTTGACCTTGTCTGAGATATAAGGATATCTGATAGTGCAGAATTTCACTACATTCATCTGTCTAAACATGCAGATAGGTATCAAGTGGGATCTACAAAAATGCTGGCACCTACATTACTTTACAAAGCTACCCCTGAGGACCTGATTCAAAGCCACTGTAGTCACAGAGAAATTACTATTGACTTTATTAGGATTCAGTTGAGATTAATGTTGCACACTTCTTTCCTGCCCTTTGCTGTCTCTGTTCCTGTGATTTGAATTGTTCCCTCAAGGCATTACAAAAAAAAAAAAAAAAAGGGATGGAAATGTTAGCAGCAATGCATGGGAAGTTGAATACTTGTCCTTCTCCTTTTCACAGTATCTGTTTAATACAAAAAGAAAAATACCGTTTTAAAACTTAGAATTGTTTTGTCCATACCTTTTAAATGCTGTTACATCTTTTAAAAATATCTAAACCAATAGTGAATTATTCCAACTTGTTGCAAACGGAATAAACATTTATGCCACTTACTTGCAGCCTCAATAACTGGAGTAGGGTGACTGAAAATCTATTCCATGTTCCTGCAGCAAACATCATGTCCATGGAAATCATGTGCAAATATTTGATCTCCTCAACACTGTAGAATTTATAAAAGCTGTCTTCAGTAAATATTTCCCAATATATCAAAATACCTGATGACAAGGAGTTTATGTCAAAATCTCCTTTTCTGGCTGTCCTAGGCACCAAACCAAATACATTAATTAAAACCTAACTGTATCAAGCCACATGAATAAATAAGGGGACAAGTTTTTTTTTTGTTGGGTTGACTTTTGGTTTTGTTTTGTAATTTTTTTTTAATTTTTTTTTGGTTGGTTTTTTTAAGGGTAAGTGACTGGAAAATGTTTGAATTGGGCAGAAAAAAAAAAGATTAAAAGGAAGATGGTATCAAAACCCAAAACACAGGAGCCAGTTACTTTATCATTTTGTAGTGTTAGAGAGAGGGGAAGGATGATAAATTGAAAGCAAGTGTAAAGGTGCATGATTGGTCTGCAAAGGAGAAGACATAATGCTGTATTTAAAAGCTTAAACCTGTGATGGTTAAAGAGGAATACTATGTACAGAACTGCTCTGTATCAGACCTAATGTCTGCCCCAAGCTCATTGCTATGAAATCTTACCCACAATGTCACTAATGTGATTGAAAACCTGTTTCCAGCATCATCTCTGCTGGCAGAGGAGAACTGACTGCAGAATCTCTGATCAGAACATGCTAGTGATGTTGTGATACTTGGTTTTCTGCTTTCAGCTGGAAAGGTAATCTGTCAAGTTGCCTTTCCCTCATATATTTAAGAAAAAAATACAGTTTCCTTTATGCAAATATCTAATTTTCTTTCAGTGATTGATCTATGAGGTTATTAAATTACTTGAAAATAGACATGTGAGCTTTTCTAAAGCTTGCAACTTTATCAAGAACATCTAGCATTCACTCCTAAGAGTGAATAGAAGTTTGTACATTCTTTGGTTTGCTCTTAGACATATGTTATAACAGAATGATGACTTCTTATATATACAAAGATTTTAGGGATTGTAAGTGTTGAGAATGGTTTCAATGCCGTGACTGAATTTGCCTCTGGTAATTGAAAAATAAATCCTGCTCTTCCAGAGCAGATGAACTCTGTACAACCTCTCCAGAGGCTATGACCTGCCTGAGGAAATCAGATGCAGAAGGGATTCACTCACAGCTCTGTCAGGTTTTGAAAGCATGCAGCAGGTATTTTGTGGAGTCAGAATTAGAGTCTTCTTTTGTAAGGATGTATTTGAACACAAGATTTCCCAGAGCAAAGTTCAAGTGGAGAAGTGCAATTGAGGCACTTAGATCAAGGCGCTGGACAGACACAGGCAGGGAGGCTCCCACCCAGGCCCAGTTACTGGGAGACAGTAACAATATGGTCAGGCTGGTGACAGCAGGACTGCCCAAGTTCTGCAGAAAGATATTTTCCATCGGGTTCACTAAAGTCCCAGTTCTAACCCCCACCAGTTTCCTTCAAGACTGAGAAGGTGTTGTAATGGAAAAGATGCTGATGGGCATGAGACCTAATCAGGTAAAGTAGGTGGAAAGCCTCTAGGTACTGTCTCCATTAATCATTGCCATTAAGATGTAATTCCTTCAACTTTTTCAAACTTGAGAAAATTGCATTTAATCTATGCATAGGCTGAAGACATCTCCTGGTGACATTCTTTGCATTTAATGTGTCAATTTCAGTCCAGTATCAAAATCTAAAGTTTCTCAAAACTGCTAAAATCCTCAAAAAAATTCATGCTTTTAGGATCACTCTTTCTTTAGTCCTCCCATGGTCTGACTTGAAGTCAAAGTTTGTTGATTCTACTTTTCACATACTAAAATAAGGTATTAATCATGTAGTACAGATCAAGCAGTGTGCTCATATTCTGTATTAAAGTGACCAAGGTGAAATTAGATTGCACTCTGGTCATTTTCTTCAGGGCAAACACCTTCACATGAATAGAACATGTAGAAAGTGTTGGCATTAGCTGTTAAAAACCTTCAAATCCTCTCCAGTAGGTTAAAAATTATCCTGAAGGGGAAGCTTAAATGATGAAAATGTTATGAATTTCTCTACACTGATAATTCAAAATTTATTTACACTAACAGCTGGATCACATGCAGCAACAAACCTGAAACATAATGCAATTCTATAGCATAGGTATTCTTACACAACACTGTGACACATAACCATGCAAATGAAAAATTACTCAAACCACTTACATAATTGAGAAAAAAAGTTTAAATATGAATTTGTGCTGAAGGAGAGAACTGTTTACTTGCAGAAATGAGAAAGAAATTCTGGCAGCTAATGCAGTGGTTTTACTGGAGTTAGATGAAGAAATGTGTCTGAATATGCAATACAGGTGTATGTCATCAGCATCACTGCAGGCTGACATGAAGTGTTTCCTGGATGTGCTTTTATTTAATGCATATGCACAGAAAATATCTCATACTGGATAGCTAGCTTGAGATATTTTGTCATCTAAAATGAGAACAAAACATAATGAATAATGAGAATATTGACATTTGAGATCAATGTTGAGTCAGCTCATTTGCTCTGCAGAAAAAGTTCCCTCATAAAATACAAGGTGAAAGTGAAATAAGGAAGGAGAACA